CCAACATCAAACTAGCTAATTCGGTTTGGATTTTCTTTCTTTTTTTTTTTCTCTTCTGTGTTTTTACTTTTCTATTTCAACTTGAATATTATAATTTTCTAAAATTAATTTTTATTATTAAGATTAGATATGGTATATGACAATGATTTTGTTTTTAAATTTGTGCTTTGGAATATTATGCATATTTTTTTTTCAGAATTTTCTTTGGTACATTATATGTTGACTTTGTTTCAAAAAATAGTATTTGAATTGTTAGTCCACTTTTAAAATAAAAGTAATTTTTTAATGGCTCATTTTCTGGTTTTTAAAATCTATTTAAAAGGCAAATAACAAAACTAACTAATATACCGTTGAAAATCATATTTATAGTCTAAAAATTCTAGAAATATAAAATTATAAACAAAATGGTTATCAAATGGGTATAAATTTTAGAAATTACGATTTTTTAGTCCTTTAATTAATATATTTTTTTATGTTCAGTTCATATTCTCTTATGGAATTTAGTTTAATTCTTTTGAGCTAAATGAGTTAAATTCTAGATTTAGTCTATAAACTTTAATTTCTAAGTCCATTTAATTCTAGAAGTTTTTACATGGTTGAACTTTTAATTTTGATTTTAATTAACTCTTTGTTTTAAATATAGAATATACTGTTACTTAGGTCTTGTTTAATAACCATGTTTTTTCATTTTTTATTTTTGAAAATTAAATTTTTAAGTACTACTTTCACTCCTGTATTTCTTTGTTTTGCGTATGATTTTTTAAACTTTTTTTGAAATCTATGCCAATTATTTTTAAAACAAAAAAGAGTAGTTTTCAAAAGTTTTTTTTTTTGTTTTTGAAATTTGACTAAAAATTTAAATGTACTTTTAAGAACGGTGAAAATGTACTAAAGAAATTCCGACCAAGCAAACATAATTTACAAAAACAAAAAACTAAAAATGAAAGGGTCATTAAACATAACTACACCCAGTGATTTGAAAATTAGGGTAGTTGGAAAAAGCAAATAAGGAAGACAAACCAAAAAATTTGATTTAAAATCATTAGGAAAAAGATATTAAAATAATAATTTCACCCAAATTTTTTTATTGATCTATATTGTTAATTTTTTACTGCTTATTGATCTATATTATTGGTGTCATTAAAACTTATTTTTTAAGTTAACAAAGTATCACGTGACATCATTTATTATATGTGGGTCATTTCTTGTTTTTTTGAATATTTTTTTTTTATATTCTATGTGGGTCATTTTTAGATGAGGAGTGCGAGGGAAAAAAGGGAGAGAGAGGACAATTCCCCTTTATTTTCTCTCATATTAAAAAAAGTATAAAAAATGTATAAATTATGGAATAATTAACCTTGGAGGTGATATCCTCAACCAAAAAATGGGAGATTTGAATCACTATCGATATATTGTTGAACAAAACAATAAAAAAAAAGTCAGGATTTTAGTTTTGTTTTTCAATTTGTTAATTTTAATTTTAAGAATAAAAATTATATGTATAGAAACAATATAAAATTTGGTCTCTTTAAAACAACTGTTTGCTATATCCTTTTTAAGAAATATATTTTTTAATGTAAAAACTAAAATATAATATTTAAAACAAAAACCAAATATAAAATTTAATAAAAACTGAAAAACTAAAGTTGAGGTTTCAGAAATTAGAATGACTTAATCTCCAAATTCTAAAAATTTAAGAATTAAAATAAAAAAATAAGTAAAAAATTATGAGATCAAGATCATATTTATATCTTATTTTTTCTGGTTGCCTCCTTATTTTTAGTACTTATATTAAGTAGAAACTTTTACAAAGGTAAATATAGTATTTTAAAATAATGACAAATATATTGTTTTTTAAAACTCATTAATTAATAATTAGATCGATGATAATAATTAATTTATTTTCATCTCTCCAATAATACGATAAAATTATCTACTTTGGGCACAAACCTCGTAGTTTTCCTTTTGATATGGCCCAAAAGGCCTCATTTTCTAACGAAGATGTCCCCTAGCTTATATACCCATGAACTTCCTACTCCTTGTTAATGCGAGACTTTGTTAATGCGAGACTTTGGTCGCTTTCCTTGAAAAATGACAAATTGCTCAAGTGGGTTGTTGTACGTAATCTAAAAAACACTTTTCATTTCATCCACGTAGTTCTGCTTCTTACTTGAAAAATGGATATTGAGGGTTGTCTCAAATTCCCATCCACATTTTTTCTTACCCTCCTCAATGAGGTATTGAAAATAAAATGCTCGAGGGCTCTAATGCTCATCTGATGCCCTAAGAATAGGATATTTATCTTTACATAGAAGCGATTCCTATTCTTTAGTTAATGCGAGACTTTGGTCGCATTCCCTGGAAAATGACAAATTACTCAAATGGGCTGTTGGGCAAATCTAAGAAACACTTTTTTTCTTACCTTCCTCAATGAGGTATTGGAAAAAAAAATCTCGGGGACTCTAATGCTCATTCAATACCCTAAGAACAAGATATTCATCTTTACATACAAGCAATTCCTATTCCTTAGTTAATGCGAGGCTTTGGTCTCATTCCCTGAAAAATGAAAAATTGCTCAAATGGGCAACTGGACGAAATCTAAGAAACAGTTTTCATTTCATACATGTAGTTCCGCTTCTTACTTGAAAAATGGAAATTGAGGGTTGTCTCGAATTCCCATCAACATTTTTTCTTACCCTCCTCAACGAGGTATTGGAAAAAAAGTGCTCGAGGGCTCTAATGCTCATCCAATACCCTAAGAATAGGATATTCATCTTTACAGAGAAGCGATTCTACTAACAATGTAAACCAAAAGCATGACCGACATCCAAGATAATAAAACTATAAAAATGGTAAAGCATGAAACCTTTTATTTCTTAACACGTAGTGCACCTAAATATTAGTTAAGATAAATTATAATAATGTTTTTGAAACTAATAAATCATAATAATTATTAATTAATATATCGTAATTTAGAATTTATAGTTTTGGATTAGTTTACATGACTATTGATTAATTTCGATGTTAATTTGATATAAATTTTAATAATCACCCATTTGAATGTGTTCTACCTTTAGACATATTTATAATGCATTTTGAAAATGTCAAATTTACATTATTAGACCCTTATTATGCGATATTCATAATTAACATTTTAAAAAATTATTCAATAAAACAAATTCAATTACTTTAACTTTGTTTATGCTGGAATCTGCACAACGGTTCTTCACGAATCGAGCTCGAACTCGGTCTCCGATTCCGACCTGTACACTAGAGTGGACCTGCACAAGAGGGTGAACACTCTGACGCTCAAGTCAGTATAGATCGGACTCCTTATTTAGTTCGAGGTGAGATTCGATACCTGAGTGTGAAATGAACTCCTCTATTTATAGGTAATGGACCCAACAGCACACACGACGGGTGGTTACATGTCTTTTCTCATATCGGACCTGTCGGGTTCCGAGCAGGTCGGACCACGGTCAGGTCGAGCTTTGGTGCCCATACTTCATCTTTTAAGGGGCAAACTTGGTTCACCTCGGCCCCGCCGAGGTGGACCTAAGCAATCCTTTTTTATCTAATTTCTTCCAACACGAATAATGGTCCTCCACGTGTCCCGGGTAAGTTTACCCCAAACATTGGCCCCCTCTCTGTTAGGTTCGATCTCGACCTGACAGAGAAGTTCATTCGAATCTATTTTGGACACGTGGCGACTTTCTACTTGTGGAGGGAATATGACCGTTGCGGAATACGTTTCGACCTGCCAGGTTATCGGTGT